CATCCCATCCCCCCCCCACCCCCCCAATCCCTCTTTCCTCGCTAATGGCTTACCTCAGGTGCTTCAGCCCCGTCCCAAATCGACCCCTGGCAACCGGCCTCTTCTGCCTCCTCTCCACCTTGATTCACTCCACTCAGATCCAGCAGGTGTAAGCAGAAGCTGCACTTAGCTGCCTTTTCTATCAGAGGAAAACATTGATTTGTTTTTATTCATAGGTTTAGCCTCTCCTGGCCACTCTGGTCTTGCGCAGAAAGCCTTGGCATTGAGGAGAAAAGCTGTCAGTGTTTGTCGCTGAGTGTTACAGTCGTTGCATCAGCAGTCGGGCCACTTGTCCATTTCAGTGTTGGGATGTGAGCGCTGAAGGAAAGATGAAAGGCAGTAAGTGGAGGTGGATTTGGAGGACGGCCCAGGTGAGATGAGAGAGAGAGGAGGGTGGACAGGTGTTTTTGGAACAGGGGTGCAATTTTTCTGTCCACTCTGTCTGCCTTTAATCTTTCTAGTTGTGATTAAAGGTTGCATTAGGAGTCGGTGTGTTTGTGTTTATCAGCACTTGTTTCTAGATGTCCTGCCTGAACTATTGATCTATGCTGAGCTTCTGTGATTGTTTTGACTATTGATTGTGTTGATCGCTTTTTTGCTATTCTCTTCACCCAGATCATGTGGAAAGGATTATTATGTGAAATAATCTAGGCTGTGACCTCCTCACACGCAGCAGAGCAGGGACTGGGGAGTGATAGTATCTCACCCCTGGGAAAAACAGATTCATAGCATACTGGTGGAGGTGGGGCTTTCAGCAGTGGTAGAAAGTTGTTACGGCAGTTGCAGGATAGCTTTCAGTTCAGATGCAGCTACAGGAAACTTGCTTGTTTATAGGAAAGGATTTGTGAATACACCGTATGTTGTCTGAACCAGCTCATAGCTTCATTAATAAGTGATTTTAAGTCTATAGAATCAGAGCATATGGCAAAGAATGTCCACAATTTACCTGATCCTGAATCAAATTCAAAATATAATGCTATAAATCAAAGAATAGAAGCAAATCTTCAGTGACTTGGTTAAAAAATGGTTATTATTAGTTATTATCATTTTTGGCAACAGCTGGAAACATATTTGTCCAAATATCCCTTAATTTCTTTCTCACTTACGTTTTTGTACTAATTTCCGGGCCTATACTTCTTCTTAACTACTTGTTACTGATTTATTAGTTTGTCTTTTTTTTTTTTTTAAATCTTCTTATATTTAAGAGTCAGAACTTCAACCCCAAATAAGTATTGCATTTTCCTCTCCTCTCCTGAAAAAAACACACTTTTTTCTTTATCTTTGCGATGTCAGACAGTTAATCTCTTCCTCAACACATTGTGTCAGCCTCTGTCATCCCCAGATCTCTATTCTCTCTGTTGATGTGTCCCTCAATTTTCATGTCTCCTGCTCCCTTCCTCTCTCTTCTTTCTTCATTGTCTGACTGCTTGCTTGTTTCCTCCTCTCTGTATTCATCGCTGTCTCTACATATCCTTTTTTTTAATTTTTCCTCTATCTCCCTTCCCTGTCTTTTTATTCTCTTTTCACTCTCTGGTCCTTTGTCAGCCTGTCTATCTTTGCCTTTTCCTTGAATATCATTCTTAACATAATGTTCTACCTCTATCTCTGTATTTTTCCTTTGTTTTCTTTCTATCTCTTTGATTCCCCCTAGGCAGCCCCAGCAGGTCTATTTTAGTGGTTTACTTTCTGTCTCTAAAGCCCAGGAGATGAATTATTGAGCAGACTGACCCCTGGCTGCACAGCTGCTGTTTGGGTGTGGTGTGTGTTTTGTCTTTTCTCTGTTTCCATTTCAGTTCTGTGATTGCTTCTGGTCATGTCTCTCTGTTTTTGAACAATTAAAATGATTCTGTCTGTGAGTTTGTGTGCATTTTTGTGATGTTTTTGTATGCTAAGCGCTGCAGTAGGAAACGTCTGGCAATTGTGCTTACACGAGCTCTTGTTTGTTCAATGTTTCTCAAATGGAAGACATCCAGTATAATTGTGTGTGTGTTTGTGTGCGCTGACGTAAGTGTTGGCTTCAGTTGAAAAAAGGACACTTTTACAAAAATAGCAAACCATTTTCAGTCCCATCGTGGGCCAAATTGAATCTTTTTTTAACAGCTTGTCATCAGAAAAAAACACAAAGATGCTCTAAAGGCCTCTACATGTGTCACTTTTCATTCTATTTTTGCTTCATTTGATCGTCCACTGGAGAGTCAGAAAGTGAATTTGAAGCTGAAAGGAGATGACACATTACCAGGGTTATAAGCTCGTTTTGAGCCCATGACATGATGCATACATTTGGTTCAACTTGGTACAGCTGAGTGTCCAGAATGCCCCATTTATTCTGTTTTTATTACATGTAGGTACGCCTAGAGAAAACTAACGCAGTCTAATACAACAGTGCAACATGTAAATGGATCGAAGTTTTCTCCTTCGTTTGGCATTTTTTCGTTTTAACTTCAGCTGTTGCTCTTATCCAGCACTTCCAACTCGTGACTTATGAAGGTGCAGCGACTCTTTTATTTTACAGAAGAGCACCAATGACTATTCTTGGAGTCGAGTCTGAGATCGTTATTTACAGAATGATTTTTCCAACCCGTAACCGCTCAGTTACACAGTTTGGAATTTTAGTTACTGTTATGGAGCAAAATATATAGAGGTTTAAAAGTTTTGAGTTGCTTTACTTTTACCTTTAGTGCTTTTATATTGTTTGCAGTTAATAATACGCAGCAAAGCTTTGTTTAAGCATCATCAATCAGAAATTAATTGTGTTTGAGATGTTTGTTTCGGTTGTCTTTGAATTAAAAGCTGCAAATATTTCACTGGGAAGCTTTCTTCTTTCTTTTTTTTGACAGTTTCTCATCTATTTTGCAATTTCCAGGCAGAACTAATGTTCATCACAGGGGGTTGCTTAAGTAGGAAAATAATGAGCGCAAAAATCTGAGTAGGTGATTTCTAATGAGTGTAAAGAAGTTCAGTTTATTTATTCTTCTTCTAATTCTATCGTCTTTGTGTTTGACCACAGGCTGTTCAACCTGACTCTGAAGAAGCTGATCATGCTGAAGGAGCTGGACAAAGACCTCACCTCTGTGGTCATTGCTGTCAAACTACAGGTAGGATAAAATCTCTACAGCCAGTCAATGAAAACACAAATCCTACTACAGCCTTCTACTTGAAACCTGGCACGATGGATTCTCTCGCGATTGCGTTATTTTGTGATCTTGCAATAAGTATAAAACATAATTTCGGTCAAACTTTTACGAGTCCAGTACCAACACCTGACTGGGAAGACTTTTTTTTATGTTTAGTGAATTAATCTTTGTAACATGTGATTTAATTAAGTCCTATTAGTCAACAGTTTTTCAAGCTCAGCTTTAATTATTTCATTCATTCAGCAAAATTGTATTAGGACTTGAATTTCACATTAAGTGTGCCAACCCAGTAGATGTTGAAATGTTGCTGAATAAACAAAATAAAATTGAGCGTTTTTTTCCATTTTTTTGTCGAGTCAGGTTATTGGATTTCGACACACTTCCTCCTCTTTGTTTACAGCCAAAGTACTTTCTGCAACTCCTCCACAGTCTAAATTAGTTTTTTCCTTCTACTTAAAGGGAGCCTCTATTAATGTTTCTTGGTCCAGTATTCAATTTATTGCCAATTAACGCCTTTCTGACTGCCAAGTTTGTTAAGGTTTACATGGATTACCTCAAAAAATACTATGTGTATTGTCACATTTGGTCTAATTATTTTATTTCTCCAGCTCTCCTGCTGTGTTGCACTTTGCATTTGTTCACTGTAATCTCCATCTTGTCTGTAATTGAAGATAACACCAACAAATTCTTTGTTGACACATAGTACAATTTAAGATGTTTAAATTCCTCTTTAATGCTGTGGCTTCACTCCCAGTTTCTGCTCCTTGGCTTGTTTTCTCTCCTCACCATCTCCATCTTGTTTCCTATCTAAGTAAACCAATAAATTCTCTGCTGTATCTGGCACATAATACACTTTAAGCTGTTTTAATTCTTCTTCCATGCTGTTGCTGCCACTTGCTCAATCTTCCTCCTCTGCTCCCTCCTATCAGTTAGTTTCCTCTCCTTCAACTCCCTCTTTTCCTTCACCTCCTTTGCTCCCACAGTTCCCTCGCTGCATGCGGTTGATGAGAGTTCATTGTTTTGACTCTGCTGGAGTTCGCTGGGGCGTGCTAACAGTAATCTTTCCATCTCTCCCCGCTTTCTTTCTCTGCTCTCATGACGTTCTCTCTTTTGTCTTCTTTCTCGGTTTCTCCTCCTTCTGTCGCCTACTCAGGGCTCTAAGCGGATCCTGCGCTCCAACGAGATCCTGCTGTCCTCAGCGGGGCTGACGGAGACCGACCTACAGCTCACCTTCTCCCTGCAGGTAAAGACAGAGGTTTGGTGGGGTCAGGTGCCTGTCAGTCAAAAACACACAAAAACTTTGTTCTTTTGTTAGTTTTTTTTTACTGTTTTAATATCTTCCTTATGAATAGCTGTTCCACCACATCAAAAAATGCATTCTCAAATTCTTAACTCTGAAAGTGGAAATGTCACAACTGATAAATTATGCAAAGTTTACAGCTGAACTGTTTAAAATGTCAGGAGCAGATGTCGTGTACCTGCTCTTTTGTAGAAGATCCCATTGGATGAGGAATTATTCTCTGTTTGTTTGCCTAGGAACTGAAAAAAAGAGAGTATCATTAGTTTTGTAGGTGTTTGTCAAATGAAATTTGTACCTTATGACGATTCATTCTCTGGGGACCATGAATGTCTGTGCATAACTTTGTTCCAATCCATTAAGTAGATGTTGAGATATTTCGGTTTGGACTAACGTGCTGGGCCCGATTAACAAACTGACATATCCGTCCCTGGAGCCATGGTGCTACACTAGCTTGGCTTAAAACAACCGCTCACTGTTCTGCATGAGAGTAGGGGTGAACCATTTGTTGCCCCCCCCGTATACAGCCAGGTAAAAGGTAAAAGGAAAGCCGTTTTTCAGAGTATGTTATTTTTTTTTCAGCCTTCAGCTATTTTTAGCTCGACCCACTAATGGTATTTTATTTTTCCAACTTTGTGTAAAGCAGCCCTATCTGTCATAAACAGCGCCGATCCAAATCTGAATCTATTAATTTGTTTTTGCTTATAAAAACACAAAAATGTTGTTTTTGTTGCACAGGTGCAAAAGATGCTACATGTCATAAACATGAGACCCCTGCATGCATCAGCTCATGCACAGCATTTTACATTCACTCCCTCTGTGCATTCAGGTAGAGCATGGTTCATGTAATTCCCAGTGGGGTTTCTTCTGCTCTAAATTATCCTTTCCAATTTCCATGTTTCTAAATGCTGCTGAAAGGTCAGGGAGTTTCTCTCTCTGGATCTTACCGAGTGCAGTGAGCCAGACATTATACATTATACATTAAACTTTCTACAGCAGCAGCACTGCAGAGAGGAAGCCTATTAAAACCGAGCAGCAGAGTGATTTCATGGCTTTGAACATTGTTACAGGAGTCGGTTTTGTTCCATTTATAGTGCAGCCGGTGAGGTTCTTAATGATGGGTTATGTCATAGTTCGGATGTGACTAAGTGGTTCGACACTTCAGGACGCCGGAGACAGGTCAGCGGGTGTGTGAGCGGCTTGTGCAACGAGCCAGTTAGATCGGCCTAATTATCATGACCTGGGAAACAAATGTCATTGCTTTGTCATCTGGACCTGTCTAGCAAGTCGGTCACCCCAACGTCAGCTGTTTTTGTGTACCTGTGCATGTGTTTACTTATGTGTGTATTTGTATCTACAGTACCCACACTTCCTGAAGAGGGATGCCAACAAGCTTCAGATCATGCTGCAGCGACGGAAGCGATACAAGAACCGGACCATCCTGGGCTACAAGACCCTGGCCTTGGGACTCATCAACATGGCCGAGGTACCAAAACTTGATTCGACTCTTAAGAAATGTAACATTGAAACATGACATGGAGGTGTAAAAGGATCCAGTTATTGAAACTGTCAGGCTTTAATGTTCAGTGTCTTAAAGAAGGGTTTCCTTAGATTTTCTCATTTATTTCTGCTTCAGTAAGTTCCCCGCTTTTCCCAGAATGCCTTTTTAAAGCTCAGCATTTATCAAATTTAAGCAAAAAAAGACATTAATAGCATTTTGACAGCAAGGGAGTTTTTAAAGTCGAGAAAAAGGGACAGTTAAAGTTATTAAAAGGTAACATATTGGATCTTCCGTTTATTATTATGTTAGGTATATATTCAGGTGTGCAGTAAATTTAATTTAAAAAACAATATGCCCAGTGATGATTATTTTATTTCTATTAGTTGAACAGTTTTTTTCTTGATTTAAAAACCTAGGATGATATCTTAATATTGTTTGTTTTCGAACCCTTAAATATTCAGTTTACTATCACATAAGATTAAGAAAAGTAGCAACTGAAAAGCTGAAAATGGGGACATTTTTTCGCATAAACAGTTGTTGTTGACGATTTCTACTCTGTCGACTTACTAATTGATTAACAGAATAATTGTTTCAGCTCTAAACTCAACCAACTGTCCTTGATTCAAGACCTAACTTACTGTAAAACATGATAATCAGCTGCAGACAGATCTTTTGGAGTTGTTCCAGTTTAAAATGGGTTTAAATAATCTGCTTCTGTAAAAAATAAAATAAAATCCTGGTATTTAATAACTAAAAAAACAGTTAATTTGGACACATTATACATACACAGTAAGTATAGAACAATTGCAGTATTTTCCAAATGAAGGAATGATTTGGTTGCAGGTTAGGTGGAGGAAAGGCTATATACGTGCACACAAATTCATCTCTTGAAGCTCCTGCTTGGTGCATTTTTATGTATTTTCAGCTCGTAGCACCCCCAACAGCAGCAGATGGAGGTTGAGCTCCATGTTTGAGGGCACGTCAGCTGTGAGTTGTTGAGTCAGCGGAGTCTCACCCTCTTCAGCCAGACAAATGTCCCAGCTGATCTGAGCTGTTGACCCAACAAACTACCGGTCACAGGCTCATTTCCGTAAACATGCAGCCTCTGCCTTCTGCTCCAGCCCATTCTCAGTTTAACTTTGTTTTGCTAAGTGTAATTGCAAAGTGATTTTTAACCTAATGTCAACCAGATTAAAGGAAATGGTCTTCTCTCATGCAGACTACTTACTGCTAACCTTCATTTAACTTTCATCTTAACTCAATTCAAGCAAGTACACTTTCAAATCCAACCCGGATTTTGATCTTTGGCCCAGCGCTCTTTTCTCAGCCACCATAAATGTCGCCATAAATCAGATTCCCAATTAAATTCGAGCCTCTTCTGCCAAAAGCTCCACGCATTCTCCGTCTCTCACAATATGAAACCTTTATAAAATGGCTGTGATTAATGTTGTGTGTCTGTTCTTGTGTGTGTTTGTGTGCATGTGCACATGTGGATGTTCTTTGTACTTAACGAACGCCTGGTGGCTTTTCATTGGCTTTGTCTGTACGAGAAGTTAGAAATATTTACAGTGTAAAACACCTTGAACAAACTGGCTCACCACAAAAGACTTTATGAAGAGAAAAGGACATAAATACAGATCTAATCAAGGGGTAGGTTTGATCTCCAGGATGTTTACACTCTAGACAGTTAGCTTAGTCTTTTATCAGGTGCGAATAAACCAAATATAACATTAAAAGAAGCTGATATAGTAGATGAATAAAAACATATTCTTGTGAACTTTAAGCCAAACTGCCAGCTCTTTTTTAAATCTAAAATATTCTGTTGGTTCAGTCTTTGTGATGCCTACTGGCTGTCTAAGGCAATATAAAGTCAAATTTTATTCATGAAGCTCTTTCAGCCGACAGGTTCTGCTGCAAACTGCTTTACAGAGGGCAAAGGACACAAATGCAAACTCATACGCATGACAGGTTCAAACTAATTTCCTTCACGGTCACAGTAAAGGTTTCTGCAGAATGAGCTCTGCTGGTCTATTCTGTGTGTATGTCAGAAAAATAATATGCTATAGGGGGACGCACTCAGGTTTTCGGTTCATACGTTCTTATCCGAAATGTCATTCTGATGGCATTGTGATTCTGTAATGTGACAGGTAGTTTCCACTGACCCAGCAGGTATTGTGAGGATGAACTGTTGAACCTGTTCAGAAATTCAAAAATGCTTTGCTTATAAATTTGAGCTTCTGAGTACAGATTCTTCCAAATGAAAACATTGTAAAGCACGACCACATGTTGTTGCAATCTCACATTGAAGTTGCCCTAATTTCCCATGATTCTCTTGAGTCAGTTGCTTGAAAGACATCATCGTGTATTATCTGTGACATTCTATCGTGTAACTCCATGTTGATCCTATGATAGCGACAAATACATTGCGTGGTGCTAGAACTGCGATTGGCTGCTTGTCTTTTGTCTTACAAGTTTGTGATGTTGGTGCAGATTGTTGACTGTAAACAGCTCAAAGGAAACTGAAGACTGATGTTATCTCCTGTTCAGTAATGCACATCTTGCAAAAAACATTGCACTGCAGACCTCCTGCTCATTGCTCTGGATGAATAAATGAATGTAAACATGGCGAATGCACAGCAGTAGTCTCCTATTCAGTATTGAGACATGGCGAAATAGCATTACATGTGACCTGGATGTAACTCCAGTTCTGTAAGTATGTGTGGTGCCCTTTATTTATCCAGAGGGATATTGTTGAATTATTAATTATTAAATCCTACACTGTATGTGTCTACAGCAGGACTTTAGTTAACCCCTTGCATTGCTTCTAAATCAATCTTAAATGCATGAAGCCAAGGCCAGTTACACAGCATCTTTCTAAAGTTTGCTAACATTAGCAACAGTCAGCAACACTAAAGTTGAAAGCTGAAGGTGATTAGCCCTCTTAATCTCATACTAGACCAAATAAGACTGTAGCAGCAAACCTTTCCTTGAATTGAACAAGGGTGTGTTTTATTTGGGTTTTATTGCATATGATTTAATTCAACTTGTATTTGTGATAGACAGATAGTGTTATTTATATGAAGTTACATAGTCTCACTTTAAAGAAAAATAGGGTGCAAACTTCGCACATATGTCTTCACACATCACTTTGAAAGTGTCAGCTGTTATCTGTTATTATGTCACCACCAAATAAAACATTTTTAGAAGATAAATGTAAGCGCGATTACATAAAAACATAAAGGTTTTTTCATTTATTGCAAATGTTCTTTTATGATGCTGAGAAATGGCCAAGATCAAGAATCCATCTTTCATTTTGCTGAGGCTTGACAAAGTTGCAGAGTTTTTTGTTTTTTTTGCAGTACCCATAAGAGTCTTTCAGAGTCGTTGTAAGCAATTGCATTTTTCTGCCCTAACATCACTTAATTATGCAACATCATGTAATCTTTGACTTTTTTTTCCCATTCAACTAATATTTGCATAACTTCACTCTGCTTTAAATTTCCTCTTGCTTCCTCAGGGCTGCCCAGAGCACATAATGCTGAGTAGTAATGGAAAATTAAAATAGTCACACTTAAAAACTGTAATTATTTGCATGGTAAAAGTATGTTTTAGAAAGAATTCCCTACATGTTGTTGCAGCATGAATACATGACATTAGTCAAGGCAGTGAGCTCTTTTTTTAATGCATTTTAAAAAGCAGTGGCAGCGTTTTAGAAGATGAACCCGCAGTACATCCATCAGTGGATTTAGACTCTTCATGGTGAAAATTGGTGACAGGGGAGAAAAAAAAAGTTAAATTACACCAGTGTTTCTCATTAAATATGTATATTGCATCGTGATGTTTGCCTTGCCAGATTTGCATAATTGTCTTTCTGACTGGAAAATTGATCAAATTAGCTGCTGCCAGGAAAGCTACCGACAGCCTTTGAGGCAGGTTAGCTGAACCTCATCCAAGTGGAAGGATGTACAGCAGTAACGTCTCTCTTTAATGTGTGGTTAGGGCTGTCTCCATAATAAGCTGCTCAGACTTCATTAGCTCTCTGAGTGTGACCAGACTGCTGAGAGAGTCTGGATGTCACTCAGTTAGATGCACAAACACACACACACACACAGACAGGAGACGTGATGCTGCTGTTTGCTGCAGAGAGAAATTATTTCTGCCGCCTCACATTCATTCACATTCATTCACGTTCATTTCTTCTCTGTCGTCGTCTGTGACCGTCTCTGGTTTTGTTAATCCCATACTGCTATTTTAGTTTATCTTCTTCAGCCTCCTTTTTTCTCCTTGTTCCATTACCATCCTCCTCTCAACATCTGCTTCCTGTCTGTCCTCATTTCTTTGCTCACTGCTGTCTAACCTGTCTGTCTGTCTACAGAGCCTTTTATTTGAGTCTCTCTCGTCTGTCTCTTCCTCTTTCTCCTCTTCCTCTTATTTAAATCACATTGAGGGTTTATCCCTGCTTTGGGTATATGAGGACCACGATTTAAATAAGTCTCTTTTTCCTGAATATTTGATCTGACGTTTTTTCATCTGACTTTCTTTCCCTCAGTAATTGCCTTGTTCCCATTTGCATTCCACTATTTTAGCATTCAGATGCATCTAAGAAAGCAGTTGCTTTATGGAGCATATCAGGATTTAAATAAAACCGCATGTTCAGAGATAAGGGGGGAAATCTGAATTAAATTTAATCAGAATCATTAGTATTTATTGTCAAGTAAGTATTCACAAACATGGAATTTGCTTTGGTATTTTCAACAATAAACATAGTAAGAGAAGAGAAAAGAAAAAGAAAAAGAAAGTACTGGAAATGTCAAGAAAGAAATAGAAAATATAATAGACACCGTAAATATGATTTCTTTAAAGGTTTTAAAGGTTGCATATTACATACTTTTTTGTAAAGGTTGTAGGCTGTCTGGACAAAACAGTTGGAAAACCACAAATTTAATGCACCTCACTCTAATGTCATCTGACTCTCATCTGTGTTTTTTTCTATGTCCAGGTGATGCAGCACCCCAGCGAGGGGGCCCAGGTCCTGGGGCTCCACAGCCAGCTGAAGGACGCCTCGGTGCCCGTCGCTGAGATCCGAGTCTACTCGCTGTCCAGCCAGCCCATCGACCACGAGGGACCCAAAGCAAAGATGTCTGGTGAGCACATCGTCTCACCACATCTGTCTGTTCTCCTTTTCTTTCAATATGTCCCAATTCTTCATATGTCCTCTGTCTCTCCAGATCGCTCTCCAGACATTGACAACTACTCTGAAGAGGAGGAAGAGAGCTACTCATCAGAACAGGAAGGCAGCGACGACCCCATTCATGGACAGGTGTGTTTGGATAACAGATTATTATTTTAGCAGCTAATTCTTCTCATGGTTACTCTTACCTTTCGTAAGTCAATTTGTCAGCTTAGGAAAAAGTGTAAACAATGTCATTGTTCACATTTGTTGTTAATATGTCAGCTTAAGAGAGAGTGCTCTGCAGTTCTAAACAGTAGTGTTTTGCTTAAATATTAAGTTTTTTTTTTTAAGATGCCATAAATGAATAAGGCCTTTTCTGGCTTCTAAGTTATTAAAGCTTTATACGGTATAAAATGTATAACATTAAGATATTTTTCAATTTTTAATACACACAATTCCCATTAATGTTCATATTTATTACCATTTTACTGCAACTTTTTTACAATTTATATCCACTGTGACAGGGTTGGTGGTAAAAATAAGACTTCCTAACTGCTTTTCTACATGCTGACATTCTGGGCAAATATTTTCACCATTTATATGTAAAATAAGTACAGATCGTCTTTAGGAAATGTAAATAAGTTTTCCTTATTCATAGTGTGTTTGACCACCTCATTTCCATCGTCATTCGTTCCTGTTGCAGAAGATCACAAACAGACTGGCGTGAGCACAGGCAGAGAGCTTGTGGTATTTATTTTATTGTGTCACCTTCTCATTCTTGGCTTATGAGAGATAGAGTGACTGCGCTCAGGGGACGCGAGGGGAATCGGCGCCCATCGGTGCGCGAGATTGGAGGAGAGAGTGAAAGGAGCAAACAGACAGCGGAGAGAGATAAGAAGGGAGCAACAAGGCTTTGGAAGCCGATTGAAAAGACTGAAAGGAGGGATGGAGGGAAGCTGTGGGGTGGGAGAGGAGGAGGGGGGGAGGAGGTGGTGCGGGGGTGAGGGAAGCTAATGCAGGACTGGAGCAGTGAGACGAGACAGAATAAAGGGGAAAAAGTTAAACCGGTCACGGCTGGTGTTTCAGTTTATAATTAGGATCTTTTTTTGTTGTTGGTCTGGTGATAACTTCTCTCTGTAATAATAATATTGTCATCAGGTCAGTTGATCTGGGACAACAGCAACATCACTAAAAAGAAGTTAGACGTTAGGTCCCGAAGCATGGGAGGTCAGACAATCTTACAGGTTTTATTTCTTGCCCTGTTTCACTTAGTTGTCAAACCATTATCCAAAATCTCTGCAATACTTTGAGTACAATTTCATCATAACCAATAAAAACAGCGACCAAAATTTGGAAATTATAAGATACTGCTGGTGGTGTTCTATATTTTTGTCAACGAAGACTTCCCTAACATGTCTGTGGCGCCTGGTCTCTACTAAAGATGTAAAAATGGCTCACAAACATGTAGTTTCATTTTTTTAAAAATGGCTCATTCTTCAAACAGTGAGGGAACTGTAGTTTTTATCAAATGTTTACTCAAACAAGAGTAAATAGTGGATTTTTGGGGACTATTTTAATCTGTGGATGAATACAGATTTGCCCTTGAGCTTATCTACAGAACCCAGACAGTGTACTGGAAGTGCCCATGTTACCAAGTGCAACAATGTGATGTGTTTTTAACAACAATGGAAGTTCACAGACTCTATTCGCTAGTAGGATTAATTCATTGTTGTTTTTGGTCTTTTTAATGGGATTTGTTTACAATGAGAAACATACAGTATCATCAGCTTTTCCTTTAAAACTCAAGTTGTAGTAATCCAGAATTAATCAGTACAGTATTACAGTAATTGAAACGGCTGGTTCTTTCTCTTCTCCTCTCCTCTCCTTTACCGGTCTACCACTTTTTCTCTCCCTGCGTTTCCCTCCTCTTCCTCTGTCTCAGTATCTATACGACGAAGAAGAGGAGGTGAGGAAGAAGAAGCCGAGGCGTAAGCTCCCCTCCAATGCCGCCATCACCAGAGTAAGAAAAACACCGCTCTCACCTTATCCATGTATCCTCCCCCTCCCTCCCTCTCTGGCTTTTCTATCCCTACCTGTTTGTTTTGTCTGCAAAGCAATTTGCTGCAAACCTCCTTCGTGTAAAAGCCCTTTAAAATAAATTTAATTCGACTGGACTCCCCCTCATGTGCCTCCTGCCTCACCTCATTCAACCTCCCCTGTCTCTCTCTCTCCCCTCTGTATTTGCTCCTCTCCCTCTCTCTCTCTCTGCTTCCCTTCCTCCCCTGTTGTTGGTTTTTCTATAAATCCATTTTCTCCTTTTCATTCTCGACACATGCAATTCAGGCCAATTTTCCTGGAGGAAAACATTAGCATCTGCAATAACACTAACCACTACTTCGCACACACACATATATATGTACATATATACGCAAACACTCAGCAGGAACATAGATTAATACAAAATTGTCGGCAACCCTGAAAATTATAATGGACCTTCAATTACAGACCAAAAGAAAGCAGTGTATTTATATTGTTTGTGTGTGTGTGTGTGTGTGTGTAGCAGCAGGAGTTTGGCTCAGCAGGTCATTAATGGAGCGCTCCTGTGGAGGTCTCCATGAGACTGTCACTGCTGCTCCCTAACACCACCGCCTGTGGACAACACATGCACACACACACAGTCGTGTTTCCATCACTTCAGAGGACATTACATTGACTTACCCTATCTCTAATCATAACTACTACTTGCTTAACCCAAAACCTTATCATAGCCTTATAGGCAAGTCTTGAACCTAAAATGTAATGATTTATGTTATAGGGACTTGCGTTCTGTTCGCTTATGTAAGGGGAGTCCCCACAATGTGACTGTGTAAACATACATACAAACATACACACAAAATAACCATAATTTCTGCACTGCTGCAGTGGGAGAAAACACATGTTGAACATAAATACACACTCAAAAGCGATTACAACAGACCCTCTGCCCTGTACTGCACTTGACAAACACACACACTCACACATATATATAGTGAGAGAGAAACATTTACATCCCCAGAGTCCAGCATGAAGTCGACCCTCTCCACTTTCTAGCAGCAAACGGGGACACAACCTCCAAAACACTACAGCTCTCTGCAGCCACTCAGACGTCCACTTATGTTGCTGATGAAAGCTTTGCTCAAAGCTGATTGTGACCAAAAAACACTCAGATTGTTCAAAAGGAGCATTATTGTTTAAATGTTTCTGCCCAAACTAGGTTGGTGGGTTTCCTTCTATAACAAGATGCTGTTCATCACAGTTTACAGTGAAATGCTTCAGCTAATAGAAAGTAAGCAGAGAAACTGAGGAGAAATAAGCTGCTGTTTATACACCAGAGTCCCTCTTAAACTGCTGATTATTATCTACACTCTACATGCGTCTGCCCACATACTTATGCGCATTTTCCTGCAGAGAAAGGGTGATGTCCAATTATAAAGTATCAACTAATTCATGTTTCATTCTGTCACCAACGATCAGGATCCCCACAACTTTTTCTCTGGCAGGAAAATTAGTAAAGGTCACTTTCATCGGCTACATCTGCAAGCATGCCAGTCATCTAATCATAATGCTGCGCTGGCAGTAATGTCATAGTCGTTAGATAAAGCCAATAGTCAACTAGTCAGTGGCAAGTTTATGACATACATTTAATTATTTACATATATATTTGAACAGCCGCCTGTTTAATGACAAAGAAAAAAAGCGGTAATGATTCTGAATGTGTGGGAACAACCAGCAAAGGAGACTGAACATTTAGTTGAACACAGTATAACGTCACACAAAAGTCGTTGTTCAAAACACAAAATAAATAACTTCCAACTTCCAGTTACATTGCTCCTCTTCCTCCCTTTGCATTCCTCTCCTGTCCCTGCATGAAACCGCCGGGTCTTCATCAGCCTTCAGGAGTTGGTAGAGACCATAAACGGAGCTAAAAGAGAGTGAACTTTGGAATAACTGTCAAGTTGCCAGAAACATTTATCTAAATGAATGCCAATGTTGCTTCTCCATATCAGCTTTAATAGGTCAATGTCACAACTTGTTGCTAAGTGGCCTGAAAATCAGTTTTTGCAGGTTTAAAGACAAACTTTTGTCTGGAAAGGTGTGAGCCAAAAATAATTTATGCAGTTGAAGATCCATTGACTTATATAGAAAGTTACAGTCCAGCTAACAGTCATATTTTCAAGTCAAAGACTATTTGAATAAAAAAAACCTGAGCTGCTGAGTCACCCTTAATAAACTTTACATGTACCTTATCTTCAATTTCAAATAAGCCCGCTTGTTAAATAAATAAACAACCCTTTGTACTTATTCAGGCGAACATCTGCGACGGGAGGTGTTAACTTGATAACCTCAAAAACACTCACACTCTCCTCTCCCATATTCCAGTTTAAGTCACACCCGAGCCTGCACAGAAACATCTGCATAGATAACACTTTGGCTTTATGTGACGTACAGAAATATGTCCTGGTGCTGTATCCATTAACTGCTGTTGTTTTGATTCACCAAGCGTGAAAAGAGAGCTCAGAAATTACCGTTATATCCTGCTCCTGTCATCTCTCTCTGCACCATACATCCCTTTTTCCCTCACACAGATGTGAACATCCATCTCCTGAGCGCCTCTTTCTTTTTCCCCATTTTCTTTCTCCGCAGCAACCCAACATCAAGCAGAAGTTCGTCGCCTTGCTGAAAAGGTTTAAAGTCACCGATGAGGTGGGTGCTGTTTTCTCACTTTTTCTCCCCCCAGCGTCTCGTGGCTTCTGCCCTTCTGATATCACTTATATCACACAGCAACACTTCCACTTCATGTGCGAGGCTCAGGGTGTGTATTTTGCTGAAGTCGACGTGTATTTTAGTGTTGGCTTTGAAGACACAGAGGGGTGTGTGTGGGAGAAATGTGGCAGAACAACTGAGATTCAGCTGGCAGCTCAAAGAAACACTAAACATTGTCGATTAAAATAGAAACAGAAATGTGTCTGTGTTTAATGCGTTTATGTGCTTCTGGACTGATTCCACCAAAATGTGTGTGTTTGATCTCGCTGTCTGTCTGTGTGTATGTTTATGTGTGTGTTTCGCTTGTCTGAACACGGTGGTGTTTGTGTGGTTGCTTTGCTTCTGTTTGTCTTTTTTAACCCACATTTTTGTCTAAATATATAGTGTGTTTGTGTGCTGCTGTGGCGCTACATGGGCACTACGTGTTTATTTTCTTTCTATTTTGCAAAATAATGTTGGATTTATTAATTCTGTATTTTTTTCTTTTGTTCTCCTTTCACATCTGTTTTATATCTTATCTGCCTGCTATTAAAATAACCGATCCTCACTTGCCAAAATACACAAATTCAAAGATAAGATAAATTTTTTATATATGTAAAAGTCTATAAAAATGTATATAGATTTTTTTATGCTATTTCTTACATGCTGATGAGCTTGTGCCTTTATGATGATAAGTACTGGTGATCATAAGTACTGCTTATGATACTATTATTATTACTTTCCACATTTTTGGAAGCAGTTTTGCTGAGATTACAGCCTCTGTTATGATAACCGTTACCAGTATTTCTTTTAACTGTTATTTGGTGATGTATTGAATCCATGGGATTACTTTTGGTGCCAATATTGACCTTGTTAGATGGATAATTCCAGTTTATTACAACAATGCTCACATTGTGTTCACCAAGTTAATTGCTGAGATTTGGGAACACGGTGATGCTGCTTCAAATAATTTGGAAAGAAACACAAGCAGATGATCATACGCATTTTAATGAAACCCTCAGCTAATCCTACTTTTTAAAATAGAAATGAGAAGAAGTTATTACCCAAACAGGCTGTCAGTTTACAGACATCCTCCAGAGCCAACTTGGTATTACTTTGTGTAGTTTTCTTGTGGAAAGGGGGGTTATTACCGACATTTCGGGTGTGCTCCCTTTTCAGTTTCATCTCCCAGTAAAGAGGTTTAGATCATCTGATTCAACTTGATAGCGATGCTGCTGCCATGTTCCCAGATGTCAGTATTTAAATCGTGCCTCAAAATTCCTAAAATATACTATGTTATATTAGCAGAGATACACAAACTTACGCTTAAAATAAACATAAATGCATATTAAAGTTACAGTTACTACTAATCCAACTACTACCTTTTAGAGGTGTTTCTTAGTAATTCACCAATCTGATATACTGGATCATTCTTGGTGCTGACAATCCACATTTTTATGTCACATGAGAATCCTGCCCGAGTTGATGTTTAACAGGTCACTTCTTTCACTTTTACTTTTCACCGTGTGTAAATTCTCAGACTGGCAAAGCCTTGTGAAACAAACTGGCAGCAAGCTGTGTTTGTTATTACTGTTGAGATCAACAAATCTCTCCTCTGTATGGGAAGTCATTACTGCTAAGGAGACGCTTTTTTATAGAAACGTGTGTGTGTGTGTGT